GCATAAAGGCACACCTGGGCATCTTAACTTGCTGGCTGTGTTGCTCTTGCTTTCCCGTGGGGGTTGGGAGGAGCTCCCTGGCCAAAAGTTCATTAAATCCCCAGGAGACGTTATTTTGGTCCTGATTTCCCCTGACTTGCTGGAGACATTTATCCTCGAAGAAAGCTTTCCACAGTAAAAAGATTGGACTGGGCAGAGAGGAGCGGCAGATATCCCACTAATCCTGGGGTGTGTTGAAGGCACACATTTGACTCTGTAAGAGGGAGTTTGTCCAAGGTGCATGAATGCTATCTTCCTTTACTGCCTGTCTGGGTGCTAAATCCGTGGCTTGGTATGGATACCAATGGTTTATTTCATGGGGGGTTAATAGTAGGCGAGAATGTCTAGAATTCTGGGCCCTTATCGGAGTCGTGAGTAGAGGGGGAGTTGGAGTTAGCCCGGGGATTAATTGGTATTTTCTCCACTTTTGCAACAGAATCACATAGACTGCAAAGCTGCTGTTTGGTACAGGACTAGCGATAGGAAGCCGAGGGATTACATGGCATTTCCTCGGTTTTTAGGGGGATCTGCTAGCCGGGGGAGAGAGGGAGGCTTGGTGGGCAAGGGGGAGGAGCAGATGGGACTGCGGGCTTGTGTCCTACTGCCTCTGGGGGGGTGTAAAGGGTAGGAGTGGGTATATGGTTTTGAGTTCTTGTTTAGGTGCTGTGGGGTCTGGAATAGGGCTCAGATCCCCAGACTCACCTGGCTGAGGGGCACAACATTCTCAGTGGGTCTCTTTCTAAGCAGTTCTACACATAGGCGGATTATGGCTATGAAAGGAGGGAATCGGGAGAAGGAATTTTCCCTTCTTGGGTGTTCCTGCTTCAGGTGAGAGAAATGACTCCAGTCCATGAATCAAGACTATAAATGTTACCCATGGCCATGCATGGTACTATCTGAAGGACCTCCTCCCAAAACGAGGAGCCTTGCATCTTGCTGAGTCTTATTCCATGAAATTTTAAAAGGGCATGTATTTTCCTCACTTTTTTTTTTTTTTTAATGTGATGAGTTGTTTTCTGTGATAGAAAATGAAAGGAAATGTCTAGTCCAAAAAGAACATTCCTGCAGCCTTCCAGCTTCAGGGGACTGTCCTTTTCTAAAACACCAGCCTGCTTGAAGATTTTAGGAGTTCCTGCAACCAACCTGAGTGGTATTTATTTACTTCTCACTTTATAGCCAATGTGTCATTCAGAGAAAAAAGATATGAGATTTTGGGAGTTCAGACAGAGGTTTAGGGACCTGCCAACACCAGAGAGTGCCCTGGCCAGAGGCTCCAGTTGTTCTTTCAAAGTGTTTGAATCCAACTAGATGGCTAAGCCAAAAACAAAGGAGAAAAGATAGACTGACATTGTGGATACTTAAGGCCCTTTGGGCTGGGCCAAAGGCCGGGGGCACGCACCCTTCCCTGCTTGAACCAAGCGTCCTGTTGAATCCACATGGGCACCAGAGTCAGTGCAGGTTCTGTTTCTGGTCTCAGAGTATCTGAATACTGTGTGCACAGGTGCTGGACTTGAAGGCATGAAGCTTAGTCAGGTGGGTGGGTTAACAGGATCTTGATTAGGCAGTCATTGTGTGAGCTCTATCCAAGATGTTTTTCAATGAAACAGCTCTGCTTTATTGAGGAGCCTAAGGCTATATCAACCTTGGCGAAGTGGATAGGAGTTTGGGGGATGGATGTACATCATTGGCTGGAGCAGAGGTGAAGGGAATGCTTCATTTGCATGGCGAAGAATTCCAGGTGCTGAAACCTAGCCACCACGTGGCAGAGGTGACGGTTGCAAGGCTATGTGCACTGGGGCATGCAGCCCAGAACAGAGAAAGCAGTCCGTGTTCTTGCTGGTCTCTAGATGAGATTTTTGGGGTTTGGACACTTTCAAGCTCATTCTCGCTCCAGGCTAGTTCCAGAGGTCCATGGCTTACTTGCCTACATAGGTTAGCATATAGGCTTGCCTGTGGGAGACTGTCTTTATTAGGTTAATTGAAATGGGAAGATGCACCTTAAATGAGGGCTCCTTATGGCATTCACTGCTGCTTCTTTTTAAAGCACTTTCTTGGTGCTAAACTCAACTATGGGGAGCTCTACCAGGCCTACTCCTCCACAGTTCTAGGTTGCCAGTGTTGAGAAATGGCCCTTGAGAAAGTCTAATTTTGCATCTTTAATTCTGGGTTCTCACCAAACGCTGTTTTAAAGAAGTGTTTTCTGTGACTTATCAAGACGAGGCTAAGCAAAATTAAACTCCATGGATTTTCATTTATCTAGCTACTCTCCCTAACTCTTTTTGAACTGTTACAAAGACACTCAATAAAGCACACTTAGAAAAGGTCTCCAGGGGCACCCAGAGATAAAATAGAGCCCCAGAGTTATTATTTAAACCTATTAGAATAGAGAGAGTCTGGCTTTTCCTCTTTAGCCTCTTAGTTTCACTGTAAAATAATTTAGACCATAGACATGAAGGGAAACTGTGGTGCAATTTTATTAGTTTAAGAGAAAAACAACAGGATCTGTAAACTGTAAACCTTGGTATCATCTGGCATGGGGAGATGGAGAAGAGAAGATAGACAGCCATGCCTTTGCCTTTGCGGTAGAGGCTGGTAAGCACTCACATCAAAAGGGGAAGAGTTGTTTCACAGAGTGAATGAGAAAGTCTTTGAAATGCGTAGGCACTTGGCCAGAATCTAAAAGATAGAAGAAAAAAGAAAAAAAATTCAAACAATTAAAAATACTTTAATAAAAGTATATTTTATTTAAAAATATTGTTTAGAATTGTAAGGTAAAATTTTTATGTAGTCACATTTTGTAACATTGCCACATATTTTAATACAAAACTTCTTCCAAAACTATTCTAAAAAGAAACAATATATATTTGAGAGCCTTTATTTTATTTATCGCTATGAATTTCTTTTTTGGTAATTTTTTGGCTTAATGTAATACAAAAACATGATTTCCTTTGATGTTTCCTTTTCATTAGCCAAAGAAAAGAAAGCAGAGTGTCATTCAGAGCTGGGACACCCAATCACATCCTTATCCCATCTTTCCTTGCTTTTTCCTTTTCTTTTTATTGGAAATAAATTTTTCTTTTCTCATACAACCGAATCTGGTTTCCCCTCCCTCTCCTATTCCCAATTCCTTCCCACATTCTCTCCCATCTGGATCCACTCCCCTTCTGACTCATTAAAAAAAAAAGGTTTCTAAGAGATAATAAAATATGTCAAAATAAAATATAATTAGATAAATAAAAGCAAATATCAAGTGGATAAGTATAAGATATTTATTGAGGCTCTGATACATACAAAGAAATAGATATGCATATGTTTGTCAAAAAAGCAGACAGGTTGATCAATAGTGTATAAATGAAGACCTGGTCTTAAATTCACACAACTATGGAACCTGATTTTTGATAAAGAATCCAAAATCAATTGAAAAAGGGAAAGCATCTTCAACAAATGGTGCTGTTCTAATTGGAAAGATTTCTGGAATTGGCATTTGGGGGTGATGTGAAAACCTAGTTCCAAGGAAAGTACCAGGATTCGTTGAGGCTCACTGTACTGAGGACTCCTAGGAAGGAACAATACAGAACCTGAACTGCCCATTTTCAGGCAAGGCTTTTAGTGGTGAGACTGGACCGACCCATCCACAAAACTGTTGACCTTTCCTGTCTGGGAGGTTTGCTGGGGTAATGGAGGTGCAGAACTTGTGGAAGTGACCAACCAATGACTGGCCTAATTGCAGGTCAATGCCAGTGCCCACACTGCCTGGATAACCAGTAACGGGAGGCTGGATAGCCCAGGATAGCCTAGGATAGAAAAAAAATCAATAAAATGATTTCTAATGATACTCTGCTATACTCACAGATGAGTGTCTATCCCAGTCGTCATCAGAGAGGCTTACGCTGACAGCTGATGGGAGCAGAGCCGTAGATGCACAGGCAAACATTAGGTAGAGAGAAAGCCTAAGTTGGAGCTCTTCATCTCATTCCTCTCCTTGGAGCTCAGGGAAGCCTGCAGAATGGGGTGCTGGGTAGAATCATAAAAGCCAGAGGCATCAAAGATACCACTGGAACACAGCCCGCAGAATCATGTAAGCAGGGCTCATAGGGGCTCACGGAGACACAGGTGGCAAACACAGGACCTGCAAGGGTCTGCGCTAGGTCCTCTTCTTATGTTATGACTGCTAGCTCGGTGTTTTTGCCGGACTCCTAATAGTGGGAGAGCAAGTGTCTCTGACCTATCTTTGGGACCCTTTTCTTTCTACTGGACGGATTGTCTTGTCCAGCCTTGATATGAGGGTTTGTTGCTTAGTCTTATTGCATCTTGTTAGGCCATGTTTAGTAGGAAACCCTAGGAGGCTCTTCTTTGAAGGGCAATGGAGGGTAAAAGGATCTGGGGGAGAAGAAAGGTGGAGTTAGGAGCTGGGAGGAGAAGAGGGAGGGGAACTGCAGTCAAGATATATTGTATTAGAGAATAAATAAAAGAAAAAAATAGAAAGAGAATTCATAGCTCATGTTCCACTAGAAAAATAAACTGTTCTAGTCACCTTTGCCTTATATAAGCTATAAAGATGACAGTTCTGGAGATGTCATCCTCAAACTCAAAAATTAAGATGGTGAGGATACCCATCTTAAGAGGTCTGAGAGCCCTTGTGTATTTTTGCACCAGCACAAGGGGATCCCATGCCCTTATGAAGAGAGTCTGGTGTATGTACACCCAGCAGTTGAGACAAAATATTCTCATCTGCCAAGATTTAAACACTCTAAGCTATGTCAGATTCTGCCTTAAGTCTAATGATTTCCTAACAGTGTGGTTTTTGAGTACCTTACTGTAGAAAAGGGCCTTGCTTTTAACATTCATATGGAAACTGAAAAACAAGTTGCTGTATGATGTTTTTGTGTGTATGTGTGTATGTATGTGTGTGTGTGAGTGTTATGTATTTCTGTGTCAGATAATAAAACGCTTTCTTTCAGGTTACCATCAGATGACCCCATCGCCTTCCACGAGTAAAGACCCTCCTGCAGTTCCTTCAGAGCAAAGTATCTCTCTGTGTCTGCTGAGTTCTAAGGAAATGGTAGTGAGATCCTCACAGAGTTCCTAGAACTGTTTGAAGAAGAGAATATTCAGCACAAAGAAAGTTGTAGAGAAGATAACTTCAACCCTCTTCAGCCCTTAAAATTGCAGTCTCAACTGGGAAATGAGTCAGTAGAGAAAGACAGAAAAATATACTGGTTTGAATATAAAATTTATGTCTATAGGACATACAATCAAGGGGGTCTTTTGATAAAATTTTGTTCTGTCTAAAAATGTAGATCTTTGAAAATACATTTTTAACAACATAGAATTTTTCCTCTCTCCAGTTTTATTCACACACCCTCCTTTCAGCCCTTCTTATGTCCTCTCTCTCAAATTGATAGTCTTGTTTTTGATTATTATTGCTAAACACACACACAAGTGTGTGTGTGTATATATATATATATATATATATATATATATATATATATGCAAAAATATATAAATACAACCTGCTGTGACTGTTCTTGTTGTTTGTGTATATATAGTTTCAGGGCAAAAATTGTAGGTTTTGATGCCAGTGAGTGTCCATGTGGCCTGTGATGCATACTCTCCTTCACATATTAAACTCACCAAGGTTTTAGTCAATATTGATTTGTTAAAAATGATTTGTTGACAAGTTTTCTTTGAATGTGAATACAGGATTTTTTTTGAAGAAGGCAATAACAATAAATCAACAATACAAAGCTTTAGGGGAAACTATCTTAAAACAAAATAATTCACTTTGTATAAAGCCAATATTTATCAGCAAAATAAAATATTTTTACTAAATTTTGAAACTTTCTAAAAATATTGTACTTATGTTTCATCTTTGCAATTTTCATAAAACAGTATCAAAGTATATGTAATAGTATCATAAATAATAACTACCAGTTATGAGAATATCTACATTTACTAAAAGGTAATTATCAAAGATAAAATGAATCACAAATCTAAATATTTCCTGAAATATATAAAATAAATCAGTGAAAGGGGGCTGGAGAAATGACACAGTGATTAAGAATATTTGCTGCTTTTCCAGAGGACTAGAGTTTGTCTCCCAATACTCTTGATAGGTGGCTCATAACCACCTAAAACTCCAGTTTCCAAGGATTCAAAACTCTTTTCAAGCTTTTTTTTTGCATATGCACTCACATGACATACCCTCACAAAGACACAGACAACACACACATAATTAAAAAAATGAAAAAAACCCCTTAACATATATCAATCAAAAATATAAATGGACTTCAATCTATGTTTCTTAAGATGATGTTAAAACAAAATGAAATAAAAAACAGGTGTTTGTATTTATTTAGGAAATGTGCTTAAACAATTATATAAACAGTTTTAATGTAGATGAAACAAAAAAGAAATCACTGAATGTGAGTATTAGTCTTTAATGACTAAGCCATCTCTCCAGCTCAGTTCTAAAAGCTTCACCCATATAAGCTAGCTTTTATAGTTCTGGAAGGTGCTATGTATGCTATCAGAGAAGAAAAGTAATCAGTTATACCCAGATATGATCCCTGCAAGCCTGTGGTAGTGGCACAGACATCAATGGACTACACAACCACTTTTTCATTGGATTTAAGTTGCAGACCACAAGATGAGTTACTTACCTGGCTCCATTATCAGGCAAAGAATTTACAGCTGAACAGGATATAGGCTACAGGAGGAAAAACCTGCTACCATTATCCTAATTAAGGTAATACCAATAATCAAACTCAGGGCTGAATCAATCAATTACAAACAAAACAATTCAAAGAATCAATGAAACCAAGAGCTCGTTCTTTGAGAAAGTCAACAAGATAGACAGACTCTTAGCCAAACTAACTAAAAGGCAGAGAGAAACTATCCAAATCAGCAAAATCAGAAACGAAAAGGGGGACATAACAACAGACACTGAGAAAATCCAAACAATCATTAGGTCTTACTACAAAAGCCTATATACCATAAAATTTGAAAATCTAAATGAAATGGACAATTTTCTTGATAGATTCCATTTACCAAAGTTAAGTGACGATCAGGTAAATAAATTAAATAGTCCTTTATCCTCCAAGGAAATAGAAGCAGTCATCAAAAGTCTCCCTTTCGAGGAGGTCCTCCCCTATCAGTGGACTTGGAAAGGGGCAGGGAGGAGACCAGGGAGGGAGTGTGGGGTTGGGGAGGGAATGAGGGAGCGGGATACAGCTGGGACACAGAGTTAACAAAATGTAACTAAAAAGAAAAAAAAAAGTCTCCCTTTCAAAGAAAGCTCAGAGCCAGATGGTTTCAGTGTAGAATTCTACTGTCCTTCAAAGAAGAGCTAACTCCAATACTCTTCAAACTACTCCACAAACTAGAAACAGAAGGACCATTACCAACCTCATTCTATGAGTCCACAGTCACCTTGATGCTTTTAACCAATTACTAGTGACTTGTCATTATACTCACAGATCACTGTGTCTCTGAATACTCACTTGAGAAGTTTATGTTTGCAGTAGACAATGATTAACACAGACTCACATCTGACCAAGGTCAAGCAGTAAACAACTCTAGAATGCTCAGCCATGAAGGAATATGGATACTATATTTCTACCTCAGGGCTCAAGGATCATTGAAGAAGCATGTATGAGTCAGAAGTGGAGAATAACTACACGGAAATAGTATATTCTGATATAGCAGGGAAGCTACGCACATTAACTCAGTGTAGTTATAACAGCATGCAAAAGACCCATGCAAGCCTAAACCAGATTAAACCTCAGGAAGGAATGGGAGTTAGACATGAAATTTTATCCCTAGCTTTAGAGTTATTGGAAATTTTTAGCTGCTGGGAGAGGAAGAGAAAGTTTTCTAAAATTATGCCCTCTTGAAATTTCTTATGCCAAAGAAATGAGTTGATTTCTTTTAAGTTTAGCCTCATGTAACTTAGCAGGATGTGAACAGAGGTATTGGATTTTTTTTTCCAAAATATCCTGTGAATTACCCTTAGTAACTTTATTTCTGTTGGAAGCTCTTGAGCTGGGCCTCCTTAATCCACACTAATCTCAGTACCGTCTTTCAAACTCCTAGTAGAATGGCAGGCTAAGTTTTATTTTTAGTGTTCATCTGCTTTTCTAGTTCAAAATTTGAAAGCCTTCTGTTTCTCCAAAAACTAGCAGGGTGAAATTCTTCATAGTAATGTCCCACTCTTTGGTAATGAATGCCTTTGTTACTTTTGGTTGTGGTAATTAAATGCTACAATCTAAAGTGACTTATGGAAGAAGGTCTGTATTCCAGCTGGGTCACACAGACCCAGAAGATCCTTGGGTGTGATCACTTGCCAGAGCAGTCATGTTCTGAATTAATCTTCCTCTACGGTCTCTAATTTCTTTCTTTATTTCTTCCATGACCCAGTGGTCATTGAGTAGAGAGTTGTTAAGTGTCCATGAGTTTGTAGGTTTTCTCTTGTTTCTATTATCCTTGAAATCTAGCTTACATCATGGTCTGATAAGATGCAAAGGGTTATTTCAATTTTTTTTGTATTTGTTGAGGCTTGCTTTGTGACCAAGTCACAATGGTCAATATGGAGATGGTTCCTTGAGGTCTTCAGAAGACCTCAAGGGTGAAATATTCTGTAGCCATCTGTTAGGTCCATTTGATTCATGGCATCTGTTAGCTTAATTATTTCTCTGTTTAGTTTCTGTCCCAATGACATGTCCTTTGGTGAGAGTGGGGTGTTGAAGACTCTCACTAATAATGTGTGGGAATTTTTGTGTGGTCTAAGCTTTAGGTTTTTTTTTTTTTTTTACAAATGTGGGTGCCCTTGTATTTGCGGCATAGCTGTTCAGAATTGAGATGTCATCTTGGTGGATTTTTCTTTTGATGAGTATGAAGTGTCCTTCCTTATCTCTTTTGATTAATTTTGGTTGAAAGTCTATTTTATTAGATATTAGGATAGCTACCCCAACTTGTTTTCTGGGTCCTTTTGCTTAAAAAACATTTTTCCAGCCCTTTACTCTGAGGTAGTGTTTAACTTTGTTGCAGAAACGTGTTTTTTTGCGTGCATCAGAATGTTGGATCCTGTTTCTGCAACCTATCTTTTAGTTTGTATCATTTTATTGGAGAGTTGAGTCCATTGATGTTGATAGATAATAGTGACCAATGAATGTTAGTTTCTTTTATTGTGGAGTTGGTGTTGTTGCTGTGTTTCTATGCTTGTTTACTTTTAACATTTTGTTGTGAAGTTATCCAAATCCTATATTTTCTTGGATATAGTTGTTTTTGTTGGATTGGAGTTTTACTTCTAGTATTTTTTGTAGGGCCTGGGTTGCTGTGTAGATATTGTTTAAATTTAGTTTTGTCATGGGATATTTTGTTTACTCCATCTATGTTGATTGAAAGCTTTGCTGGGTAGAGTAGTCTGGGTTGGCATCTGTGGTCCCTTAAAGTCTGCATGACATCTGCTCAGCCCCTTCTGGCTTTCCTAGTTTCTGTTGAGAAGTCTGGTGTGATTCTGATAGGTCTACCTTTATATGTTACTTGGCCTTTTTTTCTTGCTTGGTCATGGTGGATGATATCTTTGATGTGTTCTTGGATTCGGTTTGTAAGTATTTTATTGAGTATTTTTGCATGAATGTTCATAATGGAGATAGGTCTGAAGTTCTCTTTTTTTTGTTGGATCTTTGTGTGGTTTAGGTATCAAGGTGAATGTGGCTTCATAGAATGAGTTTGGTAGTGTTCCTTCTGTTTCTATTTTGTGGAATAGTTTGAGGAGAATTGGTGTTAGCACTTCTTTGAAGGTCTCGTAGAATTCCACGCTGAAACGATCTGGCCCAGGGCTTTTTTTGGAGGGGAGACTGTGAATGACTGCTTCAATTTCCTTGGGGGATATAGGGCTGTTCAGTCTTTCTACCTGATCTTGACTTAATGTTGAAAGATGGAATCTATCAAGAAAATTGTCCATTTCATTTAGATTTTCAAATTTTGTGCCATATAGGCTTTTGTTGTATGACCTAATGATTGTTTGGATTTCCTCAGTGTCTGTAGTTATGTTCCCATTTTCATTTCTGATTTTGCTGATTTGGATAGTTTCTCTCTGCTTTTTAGTTAGTTTGGCTAAGGGTTTGTCTATCTTGTTGATTTTCTCAAAGAATCAGCTTTTTGTTTCACTGATTCTTTGAATAGTTTTATTTGTTTCTAATTGATTGATTTCAGCCCTGAGTTTGATTATTTCCAGCCGTCTGCTCCTCTTGGGTGTATCTGCTTCTTTTTTTT